TTTATGTTGCAGCTATGTCAAATGTTATCTGCTCCCTGACAAATCCCGCCAGAGCAAAAAGAAAACCAGCACCAAGAGAAACACTATAAACCCCGTCTACAATGAAACTTTAAAGGTGATGATTTATCATTTTTCTCATGTCTAACTGGACTCCAACTGTTGATCTTACCCTGTTGACTTAAAGACGCTCCCTTATTAGCGACCTTGTGACATGTCTGCTGCAAATAATGACCGCACCTACGGAGACCTTAAGGTTGATATTGACTTTGCAGATTAGAGTAGCTGTTGTCAAATATTGATTTTAGTCCCAGCCTTCAGTGTAGAGTCGGCTTAAGCAGAGTAGCAAACTGTTGACAGGGAAATTAACCAGAAAGATCCATCTCAACATGTTTTTTTTTTGTTGTTAAATACTTTCAATTTTTCATGTCATAGTTTGTGTTCCTGTCTACTAGGGATGCACCGATACCGATACTGGTATCGGGTATTGGGGCCGATACTGTAAAATGTGTGTGTACTCATGCTCGTAAAAGTTAACCGATACCATGAACATCACTGGGCAAAAGGAGCAGATCTGTACCAGGCTTGGATATACAGGTGAGTGTGTGTGTGTAGCTGCTTAGATTTTATAATGTCACATTAAAGTTAATTACCAAGGATAGCATTGTTTCCATCAATGTAGCTATGTGAAAGAATCATCAAAAACAGATCCTGCAACCATTTTATTGCCTTTTTTTAATCCCCAGTGCTACCTTTCCAGTTTCAGAGGATGTTTAAGTATGTCTAAGGATGATTTTTGACAGCAGAGGTGACGCCCAGAATGTCACTTCTTCTGACAAGGGCAGAAGAAGTGACATTCTGGGCTGTTAGATTTGATCAAAAGTAGTTCTCGTGGTGGCCAGATTAACTTTCACAAGGTTGAGCAGCAAAGGCAGGCGAGAGGTGGCATTCTGTTATTTTAAAAGATATGTGAACTGTGAACATTTTCAAAGACGGCCCCTCCAGATGAAATCTTGCCTGTCTGTTAAGTGATGGAGGCGGTTGTGTAATGGTAAATGGCCTGCATTTGTATAGCGCTTTTCTAGTCCCTAAGGACCCCAAAGCGCTT